TAGAAATGTTATTTATTGAATGAAATTTGATAGATATTACTAATTTTACAAAGGTCTTATGTATGATTATTTTTAATAAATTGATTTAGTGCCCAAATATAACTTCTTGACCATTAGACTGGACACTTTCAATAACATCAAACAAAGGCATTTTCATCTTATGTGAGTAATAGATATTGGTGTAGCAGCTAAATAATTTGACGTTATTTGTCGAATTTCAGTCATTTCAGGTGTAAGGGAACATGGATATCATCCATGTCTGGAGAGAGAGATGGTTGCTCATCAATGACACTAAAGAACGGTTACTTGAAGTTAGAAATATAAATCAATGGATACCAACTAGATAGTTTAATAATTAAGGAATCACTTCAAGACCTATGAGTCCAAGGTTAATTTTCTTAAAGGGTCATGGATATACAACGCCTAATAGTCCTATACTATCACAATTGATTGATCACTGGGTGGTGATCAATGTGATGTGTGTCAATTCCTTATTAGAACAGATTGAATGCTGTTGACCATGTTGCAATGTGGCCACTGGTCTAGGTGACTCGACACTGCGTGCACTATTGTGAGATTAGATAGTGGTTGGAGGTAGTCGACAGGAAACCCTGGACCCGGGTTTCGTGCTACTTGGCACAGGGAGCACCAGTTCCCTCAAGATTACAGGTATACCTTGCTGACGAGTGCCAAGTAGCACGAAAGCCGGGTCCAGGGTTTCCTGTCGACTACCTTCAACCACCACCTAGTCCTATACTATGACAGATCATATGTCCATGTCTCCCAAGTTTTCATTAGTTTTTTATTTAAAATCAGGTCAGTGATCTGAACTACAAAATTCAATAGTCTTCATAAACCCTTTACATAATTATCAGTTTAGGAGTTACATAATGTTACAGGTCTTAAATCTGTGAGGAAAAACTATCCCGAAAATTTGCAATCATTTACTAGTAAGTGAATAGTTTATATCTATCTATCTATCTATCTATCTATCTATCTATCTATCTATCTATCTATCTATCTATCTATCTATCTATCTATCTATCTATTTATCTATCGCCCCCAAATGCCCTGGTATGGCTGAGATTGGGGTGGGTTCGCCCTCCCGCTCGAAATACTCTCATACGGCCACGCGTATATAGCCTCTGCCAGGGAAGTCCTACTCACTGCCTTCACGCACCACGGGTGTTGATTACGAAAATGAGAGGACGAAAAGTGAACGTCCGGCGCTATAACCGGATCCCAAATCAATGGTGCACATGGGCTCCAGTATCTTACGGGAAAAATGGCGTATGAACCGATTTCTTGGTCAGCGGCTTCAATGGGACTGCATCTCCTCACGATGCTCCACTGCCTTGTGGGTTAGACCTTTACGTAGAAGGCTCGGGGTGTGGCCCACTAAGAAAACCACCTGCTTCGGTCTGGGCACACGGGTAGTATTACAGCCCACACACAAATATAATGAAAATAATGATCTTCTCTGAAAACTCTGTTCACGCTGCGATTTATCGTCAAACAATTAACATTATTATTATTGCTATTATTATTATTATTTACCACATCATTTATTCACTCTCTTTTATTTCCACTTTATCTATCCTTATTTTTCAACTTATACAGCAGCTCGCCTATGGTGGAAATTCGGCTCTATCTAAACGTTCTCGAGTCACTGCCTGGTTGAAAATTGTATGTTACCATCGAATAAGAGTACTGAAGCAGTTTTTCTGAAACCACGTGCACCATTCAAACTGGCTGCCTTCAACGTTCGCACACTTATGCAGGTCGGACAACAGATAGGGCTGGCTATGTCTTTGGAAAGTCTCAATATCGACGTTTGTTGTCTATCCGAGACCCGTATTCAAGACTCTGGTGAAGTACTACAAATTCGCTCTCCATCTGTCACTTCAAAAAGCTTGTTTTATGTGCGTTTATCCGGGAACACTGTGGCATCTTCGTCTCGTCTTGCTGGCGTTGGTGTCGCAATAAGCGCTAGAGCTGAGGCAGCACTAGTCGACTGGATCCCCATTAACAGTCGGTTATGTGCTGTTAGATTAGAAAGTTCCATCAAAGTGAGAAGAAATCGGCGTGAGAAACCATGTCTTTTCGTCATCTCCGCCTATGCCCCAACAGATTGCAGCCCGGATGCAATCAAGGATGAGTTCTACCACCACTTAACTGTTCTCCAGAAAGTGCGTTCGACAGATATTGTAGTACTAGCCGGAGACTTGAATGCTCAGGTCGGGCGTCTAGGCACTGAAGAGAGTCGTTTAGGTGGCCGATGGGGACTCGTTGATCGCAGGACAGATAACGGGGACCATCTACTGCAACGATGCAAAGACCACAACCTGTTTCTGGCTAGCACTAACTTTCGGCACAGTCATCGCCGATGTGCCACCTGGCTTCCTCCTTCTACATCTCAAGTCTGGACTCAGATTGATCACATCGCGATCAGCTACCGCTGGCGTGGTTGTGTACAAGACTGCCGCTCCTTTTGGAGTACCTATCTGGAATCTGATCATGCTCTGGTCTGCGCCAATCTTACCTTATATTTCAGTAGCCAACGAAGTGACCGCCAACAAAGGATTGATGATAGCAAGCTGGTTGCAACTTCTGTTGCTAGTAAGTATCGAATCGAGCTAGCTTCTAGGCTAGCTACCATTCCACCGAAAAGTATAGATAAGCATTGGTTGCAATTGCATGACGCCATGAAAATGGCGGGTCAAGTCAGTTGTGGGTTCGCGAAACGTCCCTCTTACAAGCACTGGGTTTCTTCTGGTTCCTTACAACTGATTGAAGCCCGTCGGTCTACTCCGGGTGACCGTGAGTTTGACCACAGACGAAGGATGTTACGTAATGAAACCGGGCAAAGCTTGCGTAAGGACCGAGAAGCCTGGTGGCTGGAGCGTGCTAACGAGCTGGAAGCAGCAACTGCATCTGGTAATTACCAGAAGCTCTTCCAACTCATCCGAGCCACTGGCAGCAAGAAGTCTGGTGTGAGCGAAACGATCTGCGAGGATTACGGAACGCCAATCACTAACATCCATCGACGTCTTGGACGATGGGCAGAATTTTTCGAAGGGCAGTCCAACTGGCCTGCTACTCCGGCAACGTCGGTCAGACTGTCCTTCCCTCCATGGCCAGTGACGACTGATCTACCAAATGAGGCGGAAGTCCGCAAGGAACTCCAACTCTTGAAACGTTACAAATCACCGGGCCCAGATGACTTACCTCCGGCTCTTTTTAAAGATGGTGGTGACTTTCTGACTAAGGGACTGACGACGTTGTTTACAAAGGTCTGGGAACTAGAGAGTGTACCAACATCATGGAATGAGTCGATAGTTGTCCCTATCTTTAAAAAGGGTTCACGTCGTTCCTGTAACAACTATCGGGGGATAAGTCTACTTCCGATTGCGTCCAAGCTATTGGCTTCCGTCATACTTCGTAGGTTGTTCAAAACCCGAGAAGGATTGACTCGCGAGGAGCAGGCTGGGTTTCGTCCTGGTCGAGGATGTATTGATCATATCTTCACCCTCCGCCAATTGTTAAAACACCGCCATACTTATCAAAAGCCAACAATCGTAGTGTTTCTTGATATCAGGGCTGCCTTCGATTCGTTGGACAGAACAGTTCTCTGGGATTGTCTATTGAAGAAGGGTGTGCCTGAGAAGTTTATTAACATCCTAAAAGCCCTATACACAAACACCTCAGGCAGAGTGAGGGCATACAACCACCTTTCTCCACTATTCCATTCGAGCAGTGGGGTTAGGCAGGGTTGCCCAATTTCACCATTCCTCTTCAACTTTGCCATCGATGACATTCTGGAAACAGCTCTGATAAATGTAAGTAATGGTGGTGTGGATTTGTTGCCTGGAGAAAGACTTCTCGACCTTGAGTATGCGGATCATATTGTCTTACTGTGCGATAATGCCCAAACCATGCAATCCGCACTTAATCAGTTGGCAATCAGTGTCCGTAGGTATGGTATGTGCTTTGCACCTTCGAAGTGCAAAGTACTTCTACAACACTGGCAGGATTCTAATCCTGTACTCACTCTGGACGATGAGCAGATAGAAGTGGTCGAGAAGTTCGTGTATCCAGGTAGCTGCATAAGTGCTGGTGGTGGTGTGAGTGATGAGATCAATGCACGTATAGTGAAAGCCAGAGCGGCTTATGCCAATCTGGGCCATCTTTGGTGCCTTCGTGATGTTAGTCTGGCTGTAAAAGATCGGATCTACAACGTGTCGGTGAGAGCAGTTCTGCTCTATGCTTGTGAAACCTGGCCTCTCCGAGCTGAGGATGTTAGACGACTCTCTGTGTTCGATCATCGTTGTCTCCGAAGGATTGCTGACATTCAGTGGCAACACCATGTCAGTAATGCAGAGGTTCGGCATCGTGTGTTCGGGCACAGAGACGATAATTCCATTGGTGTCACCATCATGAAACACCGACTTCGGTGGCTTGGATATGTTCTACGAATGTCGTTCCGGAGAATTCCTCGTCGTGCATTATTTGCCGACCCTGGGACTGGTTGGAAAAGGTGGAGAGGTGGTCAGTATATGACATGGTGTCGTGGTATGAAAAAAAGCTGCAAAGGGCTAGCTTCTGTTGGTCCTTCACGACTCCGTGGCTGGGGTCCGAGAGATGGTGTAACGCAGTGGCTAGAGACGTTATCAGATATGGCTCAGAATAGAAGCCAATGGTGATCCTGTTGTAACCTTCTTTTGCTTTCTTCATAAAAAGTGGCTGTATCCTCCTTAAATGTAAGATTTCTTCTGAGTGTACCTTTTCATCTCCCTCATTATTGTTCTTTTTTTATTTTACAATCCCCTACTTTCCTTACCCTTTTTTCCTTCTTAAATTCTCATTGTTTTGTGTGGCGCATATATATTTGGTGCCCCCCTGTACCAATATTTATGTGTTCAAATAAATAAATAAATAATAAATCTATCTATTTATTTGTCTATCTATCTATCTATCTATCTGCATATATATATAGTGGTCCATAAACAACTCAGCAGAATTCAGAAACTCTGAAAGGAGTAAAATATCAAAAATACTCTTTCTTTCAAAGTAAATTCTATATAAACAAATACGTGAAATTTCACAAATATTTACTGTAATATGTTTCTTTTTAAGTAGTATATGAATACATATATGAATTTCTCAAGGCACCTATTCAATAACTTTCGTTTTGAATTTATATTTAGATATATATAACTGTGCCAAATTCCTGTCACGGTTTGTTATTTCTCCATGAACATATACAGTCATGATGAATACCTGGAGTAGACAAGTATATTCAATAATATAACTTCTTTAAATGAATTCAACATTTCCAATCATGTAAAACGTATATTATACACATGAATTAAACATATCTCGTATAGTTGTTAAAGAATTTGTTGAATAGTTTAAATGATGCATATATTCATTATGTCCATTAAACAATGGACAATTATTATTTGTACAATATAATGAATCACTACTAATAATTGAATGAGTAGTATGAATTGGATCAGTATTACATGTAGTTATAATAGAACAATCATTTAATGAATTTTTTCTATCAATAGTTGATGACTGTGATATAATTTCATGAATAGGAGGTGTTGGACTATTTCTTAAATTAATTAATTGACATTGTGAACATATTTCTGTTTCATAATTACTCATATAATCACAGCATGAAAAGTTTGATGCTTCTTTGATGTTACCATGAATATCAATATTTCTTTCTTGATTGATATGGTCAATTATATTCATATTAGTAGAATCAATATCATTATTACTGATAGTATTTTGATTTTCTGTTTGAAATAATAGGTTTAGGTCTGTAAATTTTGATGAATTAGGTAGCTTATTCATATTTGATAATGTACAATTACAGCATTGTTTTTCTTTTGAAAACATTGTATAAGTATCATTTCTATTATTCCCTAGTAATGATTTTAAATTACAATTTGATTGTATTGATAATTTTCTTGTACATGGTGGTGTTAAAAATCGATGTGGGAATGGTGGCAGAGTAGGAGGAGGAGGTGGTGGTGGTGGTGGTTGTGGAGGCAATTGATTTTGTTTATAAAGAAAATTTCTCTTATTATAAATCGATAATTGTGGATTTATAGATTGATTAATTAATGAAATATTTTTTGTATCATTTAAATGTAGATCATCTATTGTGGTATCAGTAGTATAAGCTGAAATATTTGGATGTGATTTAAATTGATAAAGATGTTGACGATCACAGATTTCATAGTTTCCAGATGCCGATTTTAGTACAGAACTATTGATAAGATGTTCATTATTATTACTATTATTATCTAGTGTCTTTTTTAAAGGATAATTATCAAAACATGGCATAGATGGTATAAAACTGACATTTTTTGGTGTTCGTTTGATAGGACTGGATTTTTCATGAAAATCTATACATAAAAGAAAGAAACGTTTAACATTGATTAGTGATAAAACTTTGATTGTATATGCATAAATTAAGTATACTAATATCCTAATTTAGTGACTTGATATGATAATACTTATTGGTCTACTTAGGGTTTTTCATTTGTGAAGTTGGGATTCAGGATGGTAGAAAAGGTAACTGATATATCCTTCATACATTAAGAGTAAACATACAATGAAGATATACATAATTTACAGGAATATAATTGGGTATAAATAAGAAGTCAAATAATATATTTAACAGGAATTAGGAAACTTTAAGCTGTTCGTTGTTTTTTCGTTTAGGTTTACTCAATATTTTACATTTCCTACTGAAGAATTACTTATTAGGTATATCGAAAAACTTCACTTCTAAAAAATACCAGATTTAGAGGCAATTTATGGAAAGTGTATATGTTGTGAGATTAGGCTCGACTAATTATTACGTGATCTATTTGCCAATCGAATTACGACATATTCAATCTTAGTATTGTGCCAAACTAATGACATTCGACCGATATGAGCAGCTTAGCGTCCTTATTGGTCCCTTGTTCACTTAACCCGTCTAGTTGAGTCCAGAACATCAATAACAGCTCCTACTGTACGAATCATTTATTTCAAACATACTTGGTTTATATATTGGCCAAACAGACCTCATCACACCATAAAATAGGAAATAAAATTTATACAAGATCAAACTAAAAAGTAGCTGTGAATGTGGGAGACTGAAAAATCAATCAATCAGGTGGTGAATGTACATTTTGTTCATTATTTACATCATTGAGTTGTATAAGTTACTACTTTCTTACATCCATATTTTGTGACAGCTGACAAGTGGAAGCTTAGTGCAGTGTAGATTTGTGTTCATGAATATATGACAAACTGTCAAATATATATATTTCACTTTGGTCAGGTTTACATCGAAACTCGCCGATTACTGTATTTTTGGCTGATCAGTACTGATAGACTAGAAGATGCTAGGAGATTCTTATTCAGATTCTAGACCAACTCTAATATTTTTACTACTGTATATTTGTTGGAGTATATTTTCGTTCTCCAGTAAACTTCTCTTAGGATTCGGCAACAGTAGAGTAAATTGTTGTAGCCAGGTAATACATGATAGTAGAAGAATTTAATAATGATGACGAGGTTGAGATTGTCGTAATAAAATGAGTATCTAAAGATACTTTCTTACTTACTTACTTACGCCTGTTACTCCTCGTGAAGGAGCATAGGCCGCTTACCAGCATTCTCCATCCAACCCTATCCTAGGCAATCCTTTCCAGCTCTTTCCACTTCTTATTCATCCTTTTCATATGTGTTCCTATTTCCCGACGCATTGTGTTCTTCAGTCTTTCACTTTTCCACTTCCCTTCAGGATTTCATGTTAACACTTGTCTCGTGATACAGTTTGATGATTTGGCTAATGTATGTCCTATCGATTTCCATCGTCTTTTCCTAATCTCCTCTTCAACTGGAAGTCGGTTTGTTCTCTACCACAGAAGGCTGTTGCTGATGGTATCCGACCAATGGATGTGGAGTATCTTGCGTAGGCAACTATTTATAAATACTTTTACCTTCTTGATGATGGTTGTAGTAGTTCTCCAAGTTTCAGCTTCATACAGTAGAACTGCCTTGTCGTTCGTATTGAAGATTCTGACTTTGATATTGGTTGAAAGTTGTTTTGAGTTCCATATGTTCTTTAATTGAAGGAATGCTGTCCTTGCTTTGCCAATCCTCGCCTTTACGTCTGCATCTGAACCTCCTTGTTCATCGACGATGCTTCCCAGGTATGTGAAGGATTCTACATCTTCCAGAGTTTCGCCATCAAGAGTGATTGGATTGCTGTTCTCCGTGTTGTATTTGAGGACCTTGATTTTCCCTTTGTGTATGTTGAGGCCTACTGATGCAGAGACTGTTGCTATGCTGACTGTCTTTATCTGCATTCGTTCGTGTGCATGCGATAGGAGGGCTAGGTGATCTGCGAAGTCTAAATCGTCTAATTGGTTCTGAGCTGTCCATTGTATGCCGTATTTTCCCTCACATGTCGAGGTCTTCTTAATCCAGTCGACCACCAGAAGAAACAGGAAGGTAGAGAGTAGACAGCCTTGTCTTACTCCGGTCCTTACTTGGAATGCGTCTGTCAGCTGTCCTCCATGCACAACTTTGCAGTTAATTAATATTATTTGAGGGATATTGTAATAAAATTGAAAAAAACCAAATAAGTAAAGAAACAAAGAAGAAACATTCAAAAACTTCATTAATTTTCTGTTTATTTCATTGATCATTCAGTTTATGTTTTCCACTTTCCAGCCTTCTTCAAAAATGATTGACATGCATAGATTTTACATTCAAGTTGTTACATATATTATTGAATACCATATATTTGATAAGACTAATTAAATTGTTTACTTCTAAACAACTGTTAATTCAGTTCATACAATCAAACAAATTTATACCTAAAAATAACACCATAGATGCTACTTCAACGTTATAATCATCTTGATGTAATCAAGTTACAATAATTGAACACTTGTTTCTGTAAAATGTATTATACTAGGTAGATAAGGTTGGAGAAAGGTAAGAGTTAAAATGGTGACTTATGATTTAAGGGCCGAATACTACTTACGACTGCATAAAGATACGATGACAGTAAGGTGTTTGCCACGGATAACTAGCACCTGAGATAACGATGTCTTCACACAGTCGAAGGAAAGAGTTAGAAAATGTCAACATTTAAAACTACAAGCCTCTCTTTGGTTTAAAGGTTTTCATCACATGCGGTGAGGTTTTTAAAATATAAGGCTAATAAATCAATAACTACTGTAAGATTCATTTTGAATGTTTTGTGTGTGAAAATCCCTCGATGTATACACTTGCAGTTTGTTCCTATTGATTACTTTAGTTGTATATTGTTAGTCTTTTTGATTCCATTCGAGTTGTTAATATTTGTATTTTATTATAGTTTTTATTTTTCTTACGACTTCACTAAGTTTCCGTGTTTCTTCCTGAACTGTATTTATGTTGTTTTACTTAATACTTAGTCTTGGCGGCAGCCATATTGGCTTGTTCCTCCCTTTGATTGTGTTGCTTGCATTGACTGGAATTGTGCATTTTTTGATTGTGAATTGAGGCGCTCTTCCAGAATTGGAAACACTCTGTGTTATAAAGCAACCAAATATTATTTTTCGAACGAATATGTGCGTGATCTATCCAGACAGGATAGAATAACATTTGTTTGTTGTGATTAGTAATTTTCTCGAATCCTTTATCAACTTCCTTATTTTTTGTAATTTAGATTTGATTAATTGAACAATTAATGGTTGGATAGCTGGGTGGTCATATTTGTTTAGGTAAGAATGTACATTTAAATTTATGATGAATATTAGAACCGTCATTTTACCCGATCACTTTGTTTTGGTTTCAAACATGCAAGGGAGCGTATCTAACCCACCTAGACAGCTATTCTTCAGTCCAAACCTTAGATTGGATCTTATGCTACTCATAAAAAAGGTGTGTAATTAACCTCAAGATGATGTATGTTGTAGTCCGAGGTGACACTCTCAGTCAGCTATGGCCACTAGTAGTCTTATTTTTGTTACGAATACCTTAACGGGCCTCCGACAATAATGAAAATAGGAAGTGATAAATACCCACATACCATTAAAATCACTCAATTATTTCGCTACAAAATCGTTCTGCTACAAAATACAATGTTTGTATATATCTATTTACATGCGAATAAATTCATAGGAATAAAAATAACTGTAAACTATATGAATAGCGAAATCTCACTTTGTGTCCTGTGTGTAATTTGAGAAGTATTATTATTACTATTGTTATTGTTATTACTAATATTCAGTAGGGATCTGGATGATGGCCTACCTAGAGGAGGTTTTTCATAACCACATTTATTTATCTGTAAAACAAAAACAAAAGAGAGAAAAGTTGTTGTATAAATAAGCAAACCAATAAAATAAATAAATACACTTGATATTGTTTACTTGAATATTCCGATTGTTATTTGGACTGCAATTGATCAGTCTCTTATTGGTATATGTGCATACTGTGCGGAATGCTTCGATATTGCCTTAATTCACAAGCATTATATGCAAAAATGGATAGTGGGAGGTACATCCAGATAACGAGTCCTAAACGGAACAAAACGCGCGTTCTGGATTCCACTGCTAGACACTATTTATCTTTGTATATAATGAAATAAATAGTTTGAAGGAATCAAATAATATCTCAGTCAATATGAATGAAATATTATCTTTCCAATAATTTCTCATCAGTTTCTATGGTTACAAAACTAAATAAACGATTCGAAAGTAATGACCAGATTTAAATCAAATACATGATTTTAGAATCATTTCATATGAATTTAGGACTGCTTGTAAAACAATTATATTTTAGTTTAACGGACTTGTATATAACGTTGATTCAGTCTATAGGTTGATTAAAATTGAGAGAATTATAATATGATCAAACGTGGATGATAGAAATAATAATCTAATTATATACTACACGAACTATTTTATCTATGATCCACCAGTACGACACAGGAAGGATTTCAGTAGTTGAGATCATGAATCGGTTGAAGCTAGACCACCATGGAAAACCTGGAAGCACTGGGCGATCGTTTCTTCCTATTGTGGGACTCCTCAGCAGTGCACATCCACGACCCACCTCTCAGAATTTGAACCCCCGACCTACTGGTCTCGCGTGAGAGCACTTAACCACTAGACCACTGAGCCGATATCCAACGCCTTTATTATTATTTTTTACTAAACAAGTATACCATAGATTTCAAAAGATTGGGTCATTTTTGTTATCGGTTTGCGCAGTTTACTGAATTTTTAAATTTTCATCCCGTACCGACTTTTTCCCCTGGATAAGATCGTGAATGCATATTTCCATTGGAAAGATCATTGATAGGACAAAATAACTATTCAGTGCTTCCTGATATTCAATAGTTTATCCAACTAATATCCATTCACGATTTCACACAACAGCCTCCTTAAACAATTTTCATACTTATTTTCCAACTTTGTAAATATTATTTGCGATCACGAATCGACCAATGTTAGACCACCATTGAAATTCCGGAAGCACTGGATGGCAGTTTCGTTTTGTTATGAGACTCCTTAACGATAAGCATCCACAATCCCACGCGCAGGACTAGAACCCAGGACCTTTGGTCTCACACAAACAAAACCTGTAAATCACTGAGCTGGGAAAATGTGCAATTGAAGCTAGATCATCATGAAAAACCTGGAAGCATTGGACGGCCATTCCATCCTACTATAGAGCTCCTCAGCAGCGCGCATCCATGATCGTTCATAGGAGACTTGAACCCAGGATCCATTGGTCTCGCGCGCAAACGCTTAACCTTTAGACCGCTAAATCAGTATCCAATGGTGCTCATGTCTGACTTGAACTTACTTACTTACTTACTTACTTACGCCTGTTACTCCTCGTGAAGGAGCATAGGCCGCTCACCAGCATTCTCCATCCAACCCTGTCCTAGGCAATCCTTTCCAGCTCTTTCCAGTTCTTATTTATCCTTTTCATATCTGCTTCTATTTCCCGACGTAATGTGTTCTTTGGCCTTCCTCTTTTCCGCTTCCCTTCAGGATTCCAAGTTAGCGCTTGTCTCGTAATGCAGTTTGATGATTTCCTCAATGTATGTCCTATCGATTTCCATCGTCTTTTCCTAATTTCCTCTTCAGCTGGAAGCTGGTTGGTTCTCTCCCACAAAAGGCTGTTGCTGATGGTATCCGGCCAATGGATGTTGAGTATCATGCGTAGATAGCTATTAATAAATACCTGTACCTTCTTGATGGTGGTTGTTGTAGTTCTCCACTGACTTGAACTAATCCACTAAATTGAGTGACACATCCACCATTGTCTTCAATGAGTTATTATCTCACAACAGATATTTAAAACTTGTTTAAAATTCTAAATTTTGGCTGTATATGTGTTCACACACTATCATAGGAAGATTATAAACTATTAGAATATTAGATACTGGTAGTCTCAAACAGAAACACTTCGGTTATTCTTTGATAAAACAAGAGATGAATATATTCAAACTAAAGCATCTTATATTTGATCGATAGAAAAATAGCTGAATTGGTTGAACTTGTTAAAAGCTTTACAAGCAGAAGTTACTGACTACTAAAAACATTTGCTGAACGTCTTTTCAATAATTATGAGTCACATACATTTCTAAGGGGTAATTATTGTTATATTGCACTATTGGTGCTGAGAATTCCACAATGGTTCGGGATTAAGCCATTATTCTTATTCTTATTCTTATTATTATTATTATTATTATTATTATTATGTTGATGACAATGTATTTCTTGAAAGACTAGTAATTTATCATTTGAGAAATATGAAATATAAGAATTGTTATGAGGATAATGGTTCTGTACATTCAATATCATCTGATGGTGAAAATTGAATTCATAGTGTGAATAATATTCATAAATCCCTTTAATAGGCAAGCACTACAACTAAACAAACAACCCAGTAAAAATGACATTTGCATACTACAAATGAGATATATATTTAAGTAAGTACAGAAGACTAGACATTTTTCGATTACCATTTCTGATCTTGTCCATGTTGTTTAACATAGATTCAGGTCAGTTGGTTGGAGTTATTCAACAGAAAACGCTATATTAGTCTTAAATGAGTGAAAGTTGGCACTCTTTAATTAGGCTTACCTACAATCTTGAAGAAAACGAACACATTTGTGCTAAATAAATCGGGTCTATGGCATAAATAACTCATAGGTAATGTCACAGACAATGAACCTTAGTGACGTATGTTTTAATCCCGAAATAGGTATTGATTCTATCAAGATTTCAAATTATCTTTGCTCGCAACTGTAAACTAACATGAAACCTTGATCTAGAATTTCATGTTGACCAGTTCCAACATACTTACTTTCGCCTGTTACTCCTCGTGAAGGTGCATAGGCCGCTTACCAACATTCTCCATCCAACCCTGTCCTAGGCAATCCTTTCCAGCTCTTTCCAGTTCTTATTTATCCCTTTCATATCCGCTTCTATTTCCCGACGTAATGTGTTCTTTGGCCTTCCTCTTTTCCTCTTTCCTTCAGGATTCCAAGTTAGCGCTTGTCTCGTAATGCAGTTTGATGATTTCCTCAATGTATGTCCTATCGATTTCCATCGTCTTTTCCTAATTTCCTTTTCAGCTGGAAGCTGGTTGGTTCTCTCCCACAAAAGGCTATTGCTGATGGTATCCGACCAATGGATGTGGAGTATCTTGCGTAGGCAACTATTTATAAATACTTTTACCTTCTTGATGATGGTTGTAGTAGTTCTCCAAGTTTCAGCTCGATACAGTAGAGCTGTCTTGTCGTTCGTATTGAAGATTCTGACTTTGATGTTGGTTGAAAGTTGTTTTGAGTTCCATATGTTTTTCAACCGTAGGAATGACTCCCTTGCTTTGCTTATCCTTGCCTTTACACCTCAATCAGATCCTCCTTGTTGATCGATGATTTTTCCCAGGTATGTGAAGGATTCTACATCTTCCAGAGTTTCGCCATCAAGAGTGATTGGATTGTTGTTTTCCGTTTCGTATTTAAGAAACTTGGTTTTCCCTTTGTGTATGTTGAGGCCTACTGATGCAGAGACTACTGCTATGTTGGCTGTCTTTGTCTACATTTGTTCGTGTGTATGCGATAGGAGAGCTAGGTGATCTGCGAAGTCTAAATCGTCTAATTGGTTCTGAGCTGTCCATTGTATGCCGTATTTTCCCTCACATGTCGAGGTCTTCTTAATCCAGTCGACCACCAGAAGAAACAGGAAGGTAGAGAGTAGACAGCCTTGTCTTACTCCGGTCCTTACTTGGAATGCGTCTGTCAGCTGTCCTCCATGCACTACTTTGCACTGTAGTCCGTCGTATGAGTTCCGGATAATGTTGACAATCTTCTCAGGAACTCCGTAGTGTCGAAGAATTTTCCATAACTTCCTCCTATCTGCACTGTCAAAAGCCCTCTCATAATCAATGAAGTTGATGTATAGTGATGAGTTCCACTCAATTGATTGTTCGGCGATGATCCGTAGTGTCGCAATTCGGTCTGTGCACGACCGGTCCTTACGGAATCCAGCTTGTTGATCTCAAAGTTGAGCGTCTACTGCGTCTTTCATCCTGTTTAGTAACACTCCGTTAAAGACTTTTCCTGGTATTGACAGTAGTGTAATGCCTCTGTAGTTTTCACACTTGCTCAGGTCTCCTTTCTTTGGAATCTTGATGAGGTGTCCTTCCTTCCAGTCCATCGGCACTTGTTCCTCTTCCCAAATCTTCTTGAATAGAAGATGAAGCATGCTTGTAGTTACTTCGATGTCTGACTTCAGTGCTTCAGCTGGTATATTGTCGGGTCCTGCTGCTTTTCCGCTCTTGATTTGTCTGACGGCCATTCTGATTTCTTCTGTCGTTGGTGGATTGACATTTATAGGAAGATCTGTGTGTGCTGCTTCGATGTCCGGTGGATTCATTGGAGCCGGCCTATTCAGGAGTTCCTTGAAGTACTCTGCCCATCTGTCCCGCAGTTGTTGAATCTCAGTGATTGGTCTTCCTTCTTTGTCTTTGACTGGTCTCTCTGGTTTACTATATTTCCTTGCTAGTTTCTTCGTTGTATCGTAAAGCTGTTTCATATTTCCTTCTCTTGCAGCTTTCTCCGCCGTCGTTGCTAGTTCTTCCACGTATTTGTGCTTGTCGGCTCTAATGCTCTTCTTCACTTGCTTGTTTGCTTCTATGTACTCAGCTTGTGTTTGGACTTTCTCTGCTCGTGTTCGACTGTTGTTAATTGCTGTCTCCTTGTTCTTCCTTTCTTTGATCCTGCCCGGTGTTTCTATAGAGATCCATTCCTTGTGATGATGC